AGATCAAGTTTAGTTCTTGATTGGTTACATTATAAAAGTATAAAAAACATTAGAATACGGATCAAAGAAAATCAAAGAATTATTTTTTCACAAAAAGGGTCAGAATGCATATTAAAACCAGAATGCAAATTAAACAATGTTGAGGAAAGTTTATATAAATAATAACCTTCAACAAGTGATGAAGAATGCATTTACTCCAAAACTTTCTTGTCAAGTGCACTTTTCTAAGGTTTTATAAAATAAAAACATACATAGGTATGACTTTGCCCATATGTTTACATGCTATAAGCCAATCTGCACTGACAACATTATATTTGTTACTTTTAATAATCGATTTTGATTTCACATGTTTGGGCTCTCCAGTTACAACAAAAAGTGTTTTCGGACCTGAACAGAATTCATTAGAAATTATTACTTTTTTTTTTTAATAAATTCATGAATAAAATCGTAAAATAAAAACTATAATTGAGAATGTAGCTACTAAACCTGGATTAGCGACGTGAATCCCACCAAATGAATCAATGATCGCTTGCAGATCCTGCGTTGTTACATTAGAGGTACCTCTTAAGATACAAATTTGTTTCTCTTTTAAATCCTGATTTATTTCCTCGATACGCGCTTTCTTAGTTTGATATTGCTCAAGTACATGTACATTTGTTGTATGTCTTTTTGTATTTGTTACGCTTTGCGCATTTTTTATACTATCTAGACGTAAATTCTGAAAAAAGTACTTTGTAAAGTAATTTCGGTGATTATGGTTAGTACATTTCCAACCAATTTTCTACATCCACCCTTCTCACCCCCATGCCCTTCCTGCCCTCTCCCCAAAAAAAAAAAAAGAAGGAACCTTATCAAAGTCTAAAAATGCTTGGTACTGATCGATGTCTTTAACATATTTGTCATCTCGATATGTCCTCAGAGTCGGAGCATATAATCTACCATTCCTTAATCCTTTAGCTCGAATCTGGCATAAATTTCGAAGATTAAGTAGAAAACCTACTCAACTGAAATAACTTGAAATTTTCATAACAGCTTAATTCTGTTGTACCTTTAATGGATCAAAAAATACCTCAACAACTTGTATGTTATCCTGATTTACAAAATGACTTGGCAAATCGCTTGTCGTGTAATCATTATGAATCCAATTTGGAACCTTATCACTTTTGAAGAAACCATGGCCTCGTGTCAAACGACTTTTAAGAAATGAACGAGTTGTATCATCCAATCCTGTTCCTACTTTACCAACCATGAAGAATTTACCACCTAAAAAACAAAATTTACGAAAAACTTTATGAAAAAGCATAATCGAATTTATGATTAAACTTGCATATGTAAATGATTCAATAATGACAAATATTTTGTGATAAGCAGAAATAAATGGACAGTACCTCTAAGCGTAGCCAAACAATAACTACTGATTTTATTATTCCTACCAAGATCGACACCAACAACTGCAAGATCTAATGTTTCATCGCCCAGATGAAACGGTTTTATCTAAAGTTATATAAATACTTATAAGAGCTAACATTCAAAAAAAAAAAGATGAACACACAACACACATAACTCTGTTAAGTCAAAAGGATAAAATTATTTTTTAAAAAAATTCAACAAAAAATGGACAAAAAAAATACCTTAAACCAACCATTTGCCATTTGACGCACGCCCGTTTTATAAATAGAATTCATTTTCTTTGCCACAATGCCCTCTTGACCATTCATTACAGCTTCTTCATACAGTGAAGCAAATTCTTCTCTACAAAAATGAACATGAAATACAATAATACAGTTATCACCTAACATTTCTAAAAAATGTTAGAAATCTATCACAACTCTTTAACTAGACTAACAAAACTGTTTCGTGCAAAATTAAAAAAAAAAAAAACTTTCTCTTGCAAATTTTTTCTGTACTGTATTATTAAATCGTTTGTCTTCCTCAAGTACATATACAATCTACTCATAATTTAGTTAATTAATTTTATCGGTTTTCTTTATCCAACGAGGAAAACTGACCTCGTTTTGACAACAGTGAACTTCGATACGAATATTTTTGTTTCATCTTGTTTTTGCAAAACATTACCACTTTGAAGAAGAGCAATTCTTTCGCTCAATGGAACATCCATTAATGATTTTCCATTTAAAAATAAAATATCAAATACCGCAACACTTGGCTCTACTGCACCATCAGATCTGAGAGCTTTCACATCATAAATGCGACCATCCGATGCTAGCGTATTATGTCCAACTGCAAAGGTAATGTTCCACTTATTGGAAAATTTAATAGCTTAGATTAGGATTTCAAAAATTAAAAAAAGGAAACTGAAAAAACGTCGGAAAATCCACAGCAACAGATACTCACCAGCCTTTTGATAAGAAATTACTTTTGGAATATTGTATTTCATATTATAGTGTGCTCAGCTATATTATATATATATCGTGAAGTAATGGAAAATTCACTTTGCATTTTTTGCAGAAAAATGGCCCAAAACAATTTTTTTTAGCATTAATTGAACTAACCGAATTTTTTGTCGATAATATCCCATAGTAATAATTCAGTGTCCAATATACAGCTTTCAAGTGATGGCGAAAAATACGGATTAATTCTATGATCAAGCACTGGTGATATGGTATTTGTAAAGTCGTTTTGAACTCGAGAGTAGTACCGCATTTCGCAATTCGTTCCTCTGTGCAATAAGAAATGTTCACCATCATATTTTAATTCCACATAAAATTCTTGGCCACAGAAATGAACCAGCTCAAATTTACATGAAATTACCTGCTGAACTATCATAGAAGGCCGGAAATTCTCGGATTTTCAACATCATACAAAATAACCGCACCTCCGAAAGAGACTTTTAATTAAATGTTCAATATTAATTAAAATTTTACACAATTACCTTTTCCATATGCAACTGAAGTAATTAAATTTTTATATGTTTGAAGTAATTACTTTGTCGTAAACATCTCCAGTACCGTGTCTGATTCTTGATAATAACATTGGTTCAAAACGACGAAAAAGCATGCTCGAATTGTTTGTCATTTTACCTTCCGCAGCAAGATCACATATTTCCCGCAAACTCACTCCAGACTGATATAATGTAGCTCCGTTGGGATGTATCCAACTTACTAAACTTGAAGATGTTACCTTTAAAGAGCGCTGAAATATATTATTTTTTTTTAAACAAAGAAGTAATACAATAGTAAAATATTAGTAGTAACCTATTATGTATCATTTAATACATAATATGAACCAATATTGGTTTATGCCGAATTCTACAAATTATTATAATTTTCGAGTCAGCCACGATATCAAAATGTATAATCAACAAAACTTTTTTTGAAAACTTGATGAGGATTATTAGACATAATGAGAATGTGTGTACTCACAATATATAACTTACTTCAATCTTACGAACTAATACTTGCAAAAGCCAATAAACTTCGCGCATTGTTGTACAAGCTTTTAAAAGCTTCTCTAGTTCTGCGTCACCTAAAAACAAAAACTATGAATTTGGAAAAATGAATTAAAGAATAATTTCGAATTGTTTATAAGAAATCTTTATAATACATAGCAAAAACAAATATATACTTATTTCTCTTTCTGTTATTTTGCACAGCGAATCATTCACATCAAAAAGAGACAGTTCACGCTTAGCAGTAGCTGAATTTCGCATCGAAACTTCTTCTGCAAGTTTCATAATCGACTGGTCTGCACTCTGAAAATGATTTAACAGATGATTTTCTTTTTTTTTAAAAAAATTTCATCTTTACTTAAAGCACATTTCGCATTACTATAACAATGACGGAATAATTGAGTCTTATTCCGATTTTAATCATCGAACTAAAAGAATGATAATCAAATGAAAAAAATCTTCATTTTACTACTTTTTTTTTATTGATGGAATAGCTTTTTGATTTTCTCTTTAAGATCATATATTCGACAGTTATGTTAGCCTTAGCATATCTGAAGAATTTTGCCTTACTAGAAATATTGAAGCAAGAACATAGAAGCTATTTTTGATGCTCACACCGCGAACAATCTGCGATGTAATCAATACACGATATATCGCAATCTATGTCGTACACTTCTAATATTCTTATGTGATCTTCCTAAAGAGAAAATCAAAAAGCTATTCCATCAGTAAAAAATGAAGAGAATAAATTAAAAATTTTAAGCGAAATTAATAAATATATTTACCTTGGAATCTATCTGCAACAATTCCTTTTTTGTCTTTGGCGGAAGAAGCAACACTTGGCATACTTTCGATATAATTCGTTTCTGCAAAATTCATTAATGCAAATAAACTATCACAGAGAAAAAAATACAATCACAAATATTAGCTTCTACACATATAACTGACATATTTCTAGAAAACACGCTTAAAATACCTTATACAGTATAAGTCATGAATTTTTTTCTTCATAAATCCTAGTATGAACTAACCGATTTCATGCGAAATTTTCGTCGATCCAATGAATTTGCCATAATACGTAAAACCGGATAAAAACTAACGGTATCATTTGTATATTTAGTTGCATTTGCTGTCCATTTTGTCACTAATGCTTTCAACACTCGTTCCTTGCCTAATTTATTTTTGAAATGAATTTTCTGCATATGATCTAAGTACTTGCACAATGTTGCATATTTGAAATTTTTAGAAATCTCTTCTTCCAAACTGCTCGACGCAGCATTTTCCACTTCTTGTTCATCTTCTTTTCTGGAGTTGATATCAATGTCGTCTGATGGTTCTTCATCAGTTTCATCACTATCGGACATTTAGTAACCAATGCCTCTAATTATTTATTACATTTAAAATCTTAATGGAAACATACAAGGAGAGATCATCGGAAAGTTCTTTTAAAAAATAAGAGAACGGCGTTTAAAAAAATATATGAATAAGGCATATTCGCAAAAGAAGACAATAAAATAGTCTTTTTAACCATATTTTGAATCATCTAACATGAAATTAATAACAATTCCAGGAACACGATAGATGCTACATATCACCTCATCAAAAACAATACATGATCAGGTGCAACGGATACATCTAATGGTTTTTTCATTACATCAACTTGAAATGGAAAATATTGATCTTTGTCATGTGAAAGACCTAAATGAGAGAACCTATTAAGACCCCAAGAAAAGAGATTATCCATTTTTGAAATTGCAAACATCGAAGAATTACCAGCAAAAACTTTCTTCACTTTACCCGAATCATTCGGACCGCCGCTGAAAAGATTATTTTCCAGAAGTGCCGGTCGTCGTAATGATGTAACATAGGGTCCCATACCGAGGATTCCAAAACCCCAAACATAAACTTGATTATTGCTACTTAATGCTATGCAAGAAGTTGCTGTGGAATCTGCTGCTATAATTTTCTCCATGGAAAGACGAATTTCACATGGAAAACCACTTTGAATATCCTTCACAAATGGATGCATCTGTTCGTATTCATTCTGTCCCCACATGAATAATTCACCGCTTTCTGTCACCGCCATCAAAGTATCCGTACTTCCTTTTAAAGCTGCTACCTTCATTCCTTTCAAATCACCTTCAATTGGTAGACACCGCCAATCATAATTACATATTCCACGTCCCAACTGTCCATCTGTCCCTAATCCAAATGAAAACACTTCACCAGAATCCAGAATGATGAATGATGTATCTAGCGTGCAATGTATTTCAGCAATTTTTGAATCCGAAGGAATCATAATTTTTTGAAATGGCTTATTTTCCAGTCTTACGAAGGGCACATTTTCAGGATCCTGTCCACACTGCCCATGAGCGTTATCACCAAATGCATAAACTGCTTTTTTGGATGCAACCAGAAAATGTCGTCGACCAGCTGCAACGCTTATTATGGTACCAAACTGCTCTTTTTTGGCATTAGTATTCAAGCAAATGCCTTCATTCCAATAATTCCTATTATTTAAATCGTTGCTAAAAATATCAACGCCACCGCCGTAAAGTTTCTGCTCTGATGCTAAAACTGAGAAGCCAAATCCGGCTGCAATATGACGAATATTACGTGAATTAAAATACAAAATTTGTCGGGGTTTCTTGAATCCATTTTGTCCGGTTTCTCGCAACACTTTCGTAAAAAGACTCCCTGTTTTCCCAAAACCACAACCATACACCAAGTTATTTTTTTAGCTTTCAGTCTAGCAACTGTTATAGCTTCCTGAATAGCTACCGATTTCATTATTCTGAAATCAAAGTCGGAATCAGTTTAAACAGTTAAATTTATTACCATCTAAGCAAATACTACGATGAATAGTTGAGAATGGTAGCACTTTTTTGTTATTTTAAAACAATTACATCAAATATTTGTCAAATTTTAGCGAAAAAAGACTCAGCAAATTGTGTTTATTAAAATTTATGAAGAAAGATTTGTTAGGAAATAAAATAAATAGAACTGTTGGGAAAGTGTACAATAAAACTAAAACGTATAAATAGTAATATTAAAAGTAACAAACATATCTTTTAAATGCTGTCAAAATTTAAAAGCTTAATATAACAGTGATACAATGAAAGAGTTAAAATCCAACATAACTCATAACAAACTTTGGATACAGTTAGTACACATTGGCGTTCGGATTTAACAGATACCGTAAAAAAATTTCGTTATAAAGAGGATCGTCTTATGTCCGCGTGGTTTCTGGTTTTCTTTCATGGAAGAAAGAGAAGAAGAATGACGGGATAATAAGTGTCACCAAACAATTGTTTGAGAAATAAGTTTTTATTTAGTTGTTTTAAGATTTCCTTTCATTTTCCTTTTCTTCTTACTTTTATAGGAAGCAAATAACAAGAAGAAAAAAAAAAAGAACAACGTACGCATCGATGAGTTAGTACAATGGATCAATATGAGGATGTTAGTGAACGTGAACAACGTTTCCATCAGTTCATCCGTCAACATATTGTAAGTGTATCATTGTAAAGTTGTTTTTTTTTCTGTTCCTTTTTTTTTTTTTTTTTGTTTTTTTGTTTTTCTTGATATTAGATAGTAAGTAGAGTAATTTTTGTGTACATTTGATGAATATGCTTCTCTTTTTAAGACTAGCTTTTAGCTGGGATTTTGAAAACCTGAACTGTATGTGATAATCTAGATGAGAATATTTCAATCTTAATTTGTTGTTCAATGCAGTGTAGTTTTGAAATTCGTTTAACATTACTTTATAATCAATGCTCAGAGTTATTGAGAAGTCTCTTTCGTTTTCCTATCTGTTATGTAGGATATACAACATAGGAAAAAGCGGAAGAAAAATAAGGTGGATAGAAGCTTTCTGTTGATTGTCCTTTGTAGTTTTCATAAATGAGCAAAAAGTATTCATCTGTTGAAGTTTTTGCTTAATCTTTTCAGATCTGTTTGCTATTGTTTATATGTTTATATTTAATTTCGTATTCGATCATTCGTATATTGAAAGAACGAAGCGATAATGATGAATTGTACGCTGGCGGCGAGGATTTTTTTGTGTTTCGTGTTTCGTAAGTCTAATGTTATTTGATAGATATGAATGCTTCTCAGCACGTTTCAGATATTAAGTTCATATTACTTAACTTTATTTGCTTAATATTTCATTAATACTCTTTTGTAGTTTATGGATGTGTACATGGTCTTTGGCAGTATCGATGGGAGCTGCCACATTATTGCCGTTTTCTGTGATTGGATCTGAAATAATACAAGCTTATCCCGACAGTTATTATTTCCAGTGGTTGAACTGGCCTCTAATACACTCACTTTGGAACTATATTTTTGCTTTAAGCAATCTGTCGCTGTTTATACTTCTTCCATTTGCTTATTTTTTTATTGAATCTCAAGGATTCAAAGGCCATGGAAAGGTAATGAGTTTTTGCGTCCTTGTTTTTTCAGTTTTAAGTTTTATTATTCTCTCTTTTGAAAAGTCATAAAACTACTATAGTTCTTATTGAATCCTTCTAGTATTATAGCTGATTTTATCTTACATTGGATAAACGCAATGCCAAAAATTGAACTGTTAATTTTAATTCGGCATTCATATCAGCTGTCGATAGTTTTGAACCAGACAGGAATATTCCCTCATTAAGCGAAACTTATCGGATGAAATGTGGCCGATGAATATTACTGAGAATTTACTACTATCACATTTTTTTTGAAATCCTTTATTATTTGGTGTAGTAGTCTGATATAATGTTTTCTGGAATTTTTTTAGGGCATAATGACTCGTGTATATGAAACTGTTGCGGTCTGTATACTTCTTATTATCGTTTTAATATGCTTGGCAGACGTAGCATACTCTCTTTTCCTTGTAAGTTTTATTATTTTTAATTATAATTTTGATGATTCGGAGTATTCTTATTTATCTCTTTCCTACTTACTGTTTATCTAAAATACACATCCGCGAAATTAAGTTGTATTAAACCCAATGTTCTTTGACTGAGTTCCTGCTTCGTTTAGTTTTATTCTCCGAATTTGGTGTTTTTAGTTTAATCTTGGAAAAACGAAAACTTTCATTCCTATTTTCTATAGAGCTATGAAGATGCTTAAATGAAATCTTAGAGAAAGGAAATGATTTGTTGATTTTATTTAACTTATATATAATCTTCAGACAGAAAGCGATTCAATTTCATTGTCTATACTCACTTTCACATCTGTCAATTTGCCATTTCTATATTCGTGTGTTTCCTTGCTTGGTGTACTGACGTTGCTGATCACAACTCCCATAGGTAGTTTTGCATTTTTTTTTTCTAGTTTTTTTATATTCTTTCATATGGCAGAAAGTATCCCATTTTATGAGTTCTATATTTGTAATAGATTTCAGTAGGATGACAATTATAAGAATTATAGCAGTGACTATTTCTAATTCCAGGATTAGCAAGAATGTTCTCGGTAGTATCGAACCATTTGCTTGCAACAGAACATCAAAAAATTATCGATCCGTTAGAGGAAGCGATATTTCGACTGGAATACCAAACTCTTAAAAGACGATTGCGACGAAACAACCTTGGAGATGTATCACTTCCAGATCCATTTCTTCCACAGAAGCCTCTTCGTGGCTATCAAGTTGTGTTACAAACGGTGAAATATGTATTTGCGATCGTTGTCTTGCTTCTTCTAACTGTAAGTTAATCAAATAATGCTTTTTTATCAAAATATTATTGAAATAACAAACAATAACTTTCAATTCAATTATTGACAATTTAATAAGTTTGTCCAGTTCACTCAGTTCTTATGGTTTTATCGCATATTTATTTGTTTTTCATAATAATTTTAGGCAATTACTGTGCTTATGGTATTAATCAATACGCTGCAGTTGCTATTTGGTTTTCGGGCATTGCCTGTTTATGCGCAATACATGGAAGTAAATTCACGTCATACATTAGGCATTTTTGGAGCTGTCATAGAAGTCATCATAATTTGGTAAGACATCAAAACAGTTAAAGTTAAATAATTGAAGTATTTTATAGGTCCGTATAAGTTTGGATGATTTCTATAACTATACCTTTAATCTAATTACTTTGCGACCAGTGTATGATTATTTAGGTATATAATGATTGCTGCAATGATTGGAGTTTATTCAGTACCATTGTTACGAAGAATTCGACCACAGTTGCATAAAACATCTATGACATGCGTGATTGCGAACTGTACAACTGTTCTAATACTTAGTTCAGCTCTTCCAGTGCTTGCACGAACTCTTGGTTTGTTTCATCACTACATTTCTCATATATGTCATCGTGGAATCGTATCAGCTTCCAGAACTAAACATTTTCTTTTTAGGAATTACGACATTCGATCTGGTCGGAGCGTACGGCAGTTTTATGTGGTTATCCAATTTCACATTAGTTTGGACGTATAATGTTGCGTTTGCTTTTGTGACGGTTTCTTGTTTATTGAATCATTTCACTACGCCAGTTAGGAATGAAATTATCCAAAGGTATGAAGATATCTTAGTTATTACCTATTTGAAGAGGTCAACTATATTTGTTGATGAAATCAATAGATTTTCATCAATTTTAAAAGAATTACTGTTTCTGAATTCAGTGATAGATTCTCTTTGGTTATCGTCTTTTTCGTTATGTTAACATGTACGATGATAATACAAGTTTTGCTATGCCACAATATTTTAAATAGTTTACAACCGAATTATAACTTAGTATTTTCCAATTAAAAATGACAAACTTTCAGGATTCGAGATTTATCTTATCGAATAAAAGCAATTGAAAGTGTTGAAAAAATGGATTAGTTTGTGAGTATACATATGGTTTATTTGTGAACATTTAAAATATCACTTTCGGAATGATCTCGAAATTATAAAGAGCTTGAAGTTATAGAAAAAAAAGGAGAAATAGTTGTTGTTTTGTATTTTTTAATGCATCACTTCTGTTCATACAATTGTGTATATTCATATTAATAATGTGATAGTTCAGTATTTTGTACCGGCAAAAATAAATTTGCTGGTGTTTCGTTTTGATTTAAAATTTATCAGGTATAATTTAGCAAAAATCGATTTCTTTTAATTTTCCATAAGGGTATTTCATGTGATATCGAGAATTTTATTCTGAGTGCTTATTGTGTTTCTCTTCGAATATGAGCACATCTTACTTCTTTTTATTCTGATAATTGTGCAGGAAGAAAATTTGAAGAAAAATAATTCTAATCGGAAATAAATACATTTTTCTTATGTAGATTTTAATTTCTAATTCACTTTTTAAATTTTTCCATAGCAATTTATGCTTAAATGAAAAAACAAATGAATTATGAAAAGAGATTGGAAAGACAAAAGTTTTTTTTTTTTTTTTTTTTTGATATGAAGTTAGTTGCTTGTGATAGTGTGTGTATATGTAATTTCCATATTTCCATTTTGCACTTTTTATTGACTTATCTGTAACATAGATCATGATGTTGTCATTAATATATAATGATTGTGAATGCTATTTTATTAAATATCACATTTTCTCTCATGCATACTTTAATTTATAATCCATTTTTTAAACTATTCCATAGCATTTTAATGCTTAAAATAAAAACAAAAAATAAAAAAAAAAAAAAATGAAATATCAGTTAATTTGCTAAAACACAAAAAGAAGCACAAATATTTTGTTAGGCTGCGTTTTACTTTAAACAGCTTTTCAGTTACTTTACTGTGTTTACACCTTAGATGGTAATATTTTATTTTTTAATAAAAGACTGAAATTTGTTAAAATTTTCTTCTACACCGAATT